CCAGATATATCTCCCTATAAGTTTAATCACAGGTTAGTTACTTTTTGTAAATTCAATCAAAATCTATTCATTGTCATAGAAATTTGTTGAGCTCAGTTATATAAACATGTCTCCATCTAACAAGGACTAGCCAACAGGTATCTTAACAGATATTCACTGATTCCCTTATCAAAACTGCTGATTTATGTCCATGAATTCTGAAAGATAAAGCCTTTTATTGAATTATAGAATAAATAATGGATAATAAGTGAGATGATAAAATCATATATTTTTTGTTTTCATTGAACTTAAGCTAATTTTTAAACTTTGATGCAAACCCCAAATCATCCACAAAATTACCAGAGACCAAAATATGTCATTAGATAACTTAATACAATGGAGCAGCTAGGTGGTGCAGTGGATAGAGCTCTGGCCTTGGAGTCAGGAGGACCTGAGTTCAAATGCGGCCTTAGACACTTGATGCTAGTTGTGTGACCCTGGTTAAGTCACTTAACTCCATTGCCTCACCAAAAAAGCAAAAAACAAAAAAGAAAACTAAATACATGATCAAAATTCATAAATCTTACTCTCTGTTCCAAGTTCAAATTCCATGTTAATTTTGTTGGGTCATGAAATGCATTATTGAGATTTTTTTTAACTGTTAGAAGTAGCTTTCAGACTGGTTAAGTGATTTTGATATCTAAGACAAGCTATTATTTACAATCACAATAATTTAAAATTATATATAATGCTCTTCAGTTACAAGGCACTTTCACGTTCATTATTTTGCTTGAACCTCATAAGAGACGTACAAAGTAGATTATGACATTATTGTTTCTCTTTTGAAAATGATGAAGCTGGGTGAAATAGGGATGTCCATTATCACCACTGTTGTTCAATATGGTACTGGAAATGTTAGCTTTAGCAATAAGAGAAGAAAAACAAATTGAAGGTATTAGAATAGGCAAAGAAGAAACAAAGCTATCACTCTTTGCAGATGATATGATGATGTACTTAGAGAATCCTAGAAAATCAAGTAGAAAACTACTTGAAATAATAAAGAACTTTAGCAAAATTGTAGGTTATAAAATAAACCCATATAAATCATTGACATTTCTATATGTTACTAACAAAGCCCAACAGCAAGAGATAGAAAGAGAAATTACATTTAAGGTTACTGTAAACATTATAAAATATTTAGGAGTCTATCTGCCAAAACAAACCCAGCAACTGTATGGGCACAATTACAAAACACTTTTCACACAAATAAAGTTAGACCTAAATATTTGGAAAAACATCAGTTGCTCATGGGTATGTTGAGCTAATATAATAAAATGGACAATTCTACCTAAGCTAATTTACTTATTCAGTTCCATACCAATCAAACTGCCAAAAATTATTTTATAGAGCTAGAAAAAATAACAAGATTCATTTGGAAGAACAAAAGGTCCAGAATATCAAAGGAACTAATGAAAAGAAATGCTAGGAAAGGTGGCCTAGCCATTCCAGATCTTAAATTGTATTATAAAGCAACAATCATCAAAACTACTTGGTACTGGCTAAGAAATAGAGTGGTGGATCAATGGAATAGGTTAGGTATGCAAGACACAGTAGTCAGTGACTATAGCAATCTACTATTTGATAAACCCAAAGACCCTAGCTTCTGGGATAAGAACTTGCTATTTGACAAAAACTGCTGGGAAAACTGGAAAAGAAGGCAGAGACTAGGCATAGATCAAAATCTTACACCATATACCAAAGTAAAGTCAAAATGGGTCCATGATTTAGATACAAAGACTGATACTATAAGAAAATTGGAGAGTAAGAAATAGTTTACCTGTCAGACTTAATGGAGAACAGAAGAATTTATGACCAAAAAAGAGATAAAGAACATTATGAAATGCAAAATGTATAATTTTGATTACATTAAATTGAAAAGTTTTTTGCACAAACAAAGCCAGTGCAGCCAAGATTAGGAGGGAAGCAGAAAATTGGGAAAGAATTTTTACAACCAGTGTCTCTGATAAGGGCCTCATTTCTAAAATATACAGAGAACTAAGTCAAATTTATAAGAATACAAGTCATTCCCCAATTGATAAATGGTCAAAGGATATGAACAGGCAGTTTTCAGATGAAAAAATTAAAGCTATCTATAGTCATATGAAAAAATGCTCTAAATCACTATTGATTAGGGAAATGCAAATCAAAACAACTCTGAGGTACTACATCACACCTACCAGACTGGCCAATATGACAAAACAGGAAAATGAAAAATGTCGGAGAAGATGTGGGAAAATTGGAACACTAATGCATTTTTGGTGGAGTTGTGAAATGATCCAACTGTTTTAGAGAACAATTTGGAACAATGCCCAAAGGGCTATAAAAATGTGCTTACCCTTTGACCCAGCAATACCACTTCTAGGGCTATATCCCGAAGAGGTCATAAAAATGGGAAAAGGACCCACATGTGCAAAAATATTCATAGCAGCTCTTTCTGTGGTGGCAAAGAATTGGAAATTGAGGGGATGCCCAACAATTGGGGAATGGCTGAACAAATTATCGTACATGAATGTACAGGAATATTATTGTGCTGTAAGAAATGATGAGCAAGCAGACTTCAGAAAAACCTGGAAAGACTTGTATGGAGTGATGCTGAGTGAAATGAGCAGAACTAGGAGAACGTTGTGCGTGATAACAGCCACGTTGTGCAATGAGTAACTTTGATAGACTTAGCTCTTTTCAGCAATGCAAGGATCTAAGACATCTCCAAAAGTCTCATGACAGAAAGTGCTTTCCACATCCAGAGAAGGGAGTTTGAATGAAGACTGAAACATATGATTTGCTCTTTTTTTTTCCTCTGATTTGTTTTGTTTCCTCTTTCTGGTGGTTCCTCCTTTTGGTTCAAATTTTTCTCTACAACATGACTAATATGAAAAGAAAAAAAATTGATTACCAGGTGGGAGCATAATAAATAGTGTTTTATACCTTAAAAATGATGAAGCTGAAGCCTAAGGAGCAGAGGTGCCTTGCTCAAGGTTACACAGCCTGTCAGTGGTATTTCTGAGAATAGAGAATAGGACCCTGGTTCTCTCTTTTCTCTATTGCTAGCTTAAATTCATGCAAGGTCCAAAAATAATAATAGTTTGAATATAGATTATAACTGACTTATTGGTTATCC